AATTAATGTCGATATTAAAATATAATTTCGTTTTGGTAGACTTGAAATTTGGCAGTTTTTTTTATTAATCTTTCTTTTTCCTTAATTTTAATCTTTATTTTTTCTTTGTAAAAAATACAAAAAACACAAACATTTTAATTTGACAGCCTTAGTTAAAATTTAAAGTGAATAAGTTTAATTTTTCGATTGCTATGAAGATTAAGTTGGTGTCCCATATTGTGGTCTCCCGAGCTTTAATCAGAGTCCGAAGAGTCCACTGAGAAGAGGGGATGGATACACTGCCACAGATCGTGCTTCCTTCAATGCAGTTTAGAGGTACAATGTACTCAGGAGGGCGGATTCAACTCCAAATTGTGGAAGGTAATCTCATTGCAGTTTCTTCTTATGTTCAAGAAATTATAGAGGAGTACATCATTCAAACCAGGGCCATAATTGGTGCGGATTTCTATTTTCTTGATGACGATATGCGATCTCAAAGGGGAAAAGTTGTTCATCAATATCTTGACACTTCACATCTGCCCCTTTCTCCTTATTACCTCCAGATCTCAATTCCATCGAGCACATGTGGGATGCACTGCGGGGAAGGCTTTTTGAATACCATTTACAGCTTCTTAACCTTCAGCAACTGAAAGCAGTATTATCATGTTTAAAAAAAAGAAAAACCTGTACCACTTACAACCCATGAAAGGTCTTGGGTTCAGTACAATTTAGGGAAAGTACTGTTACAAGGCCAACCAGTTGTGCAGGGAGATCGGGCCAAGATCACGCTCGACCACCAGGATTTCCCCTTCATTAATTATTTTAATTAAGGGTATCCACTTTGTTGAGGCTAAGTGTGCCCCCAAGAAGGCCACTCTATCCCAGGGTCACGCCACAACCGATGAATTAGAATAAATAATGTTTTGGCCATGAGCCAGGATTCGGATCTGGAACCTTGAGCATTGGAAGCTTAATACCTTATCACTGAGCTACCCCTCTCCCTATTACCATGTTTAACAACATTATGAACAGTATGCTCGATAGGTGTAGAGAGATAGTGCATAACAGAGGATATTACACAAATTATTCAATTTTACAATTTTCAATCATAAAACCAAGATTACATAAACCTTTCATTTTATAATATTTTAAAAGCACCTTTAATAAAATTTCTGGAGGTCAAATACAATCTTATTTATATTGATTTTCAATGTAATTAACAATAAAAATTCTAGGGAAAATAAATCATACATAACAATTTCCCTATTCATTTTTGCACAATATAGTATGGGAGTTTAGCTAATTGGAGAGTTTTATTTTATATTTTGTCTAGGTTTTAATCAGTTTTTAAAATAAATGTGTTTTTTTTAAATTTTTGTTTGACTTAAGATTTTATATGGTTGGTCAGAAAAATTAAAACAGAAAATCAATAAGCTTAGGTTTCCCATCATTTTAGTAATAATACTTGATAAATAGCGTGGTTGCTTGAAACATAAATAAGATTTAAATATTTTTATTTTATCTTAATTAATATCATATAAATTTTGCTTTCTCTTGTTTGTATTCTGTCAGTCAGATAAATATCTTGAATTTTCTCTGCCTTAAATGTAATTTATTTCTCCCACACAAATAAAACAAAAAAAAATGAAATGAAATAAAATTCTTTTATCACAATATTCACAAATATTTATTAATATGTAAGTTTGCTACAGTGTACTACAACACTGTTGCAACCTTCAGTGTTATCATTTGTGTTATCTAATAACATATGATTGAAATAGTTATTATTATCGATTGATTTGTACTAGTGAAACCACGTGTAATTTAATTCTTTTTGTAAAGAATAAAATCTTGTTAAAACAATCTTACAAATTAAATTAAAGTTTTCAACTGGTAAGGCATGGATGTACTTTATATTAAGAAAACCAAGAATGAATTTGTGATCCTATGCATTTCCATTGATAAGAATACTTTGTATTTGGTAACAGAATTTAAAGATTTAAGTATCCACACTACTCTGTCAAACAAAAATATAATAAAAAATGCAATGTCTGCTATTAAGATCCAAGATGGTTATAGAACAATTGTGAATCGTTTTAAGATGTAAAATAAACAACAAAACAAATAAGGCCTGGCCGGTTCTCGCAAAGGAGTGTGTCAGTGAGTATAATGATACAATTTATAGTTTCACACGATTTGCACCATCTTACTTACTGTTAGGAAAGAAACAAGATATTTCCCCTCTTATCGAAGAAGATCCTAAAACAGCTCTTCAAAATTCAATAATAAGTTTTCAAATAAATAAGAAGCGTGTCGATAGGAATCAACCCCACCATAATTTTAACATTAGAGACTTGTATATCGAAAATGGTAACAAAAATAATCATAACAAACTCGACCCCATATGAATTGGACCATTTTCAATAGTCCGCCAGATTTCACCTACGTTGTATGAAGTAGCAAGTGAAAAGAGTTAGATCTTCAACTTCTTTCATTCCAGTAAACTCCTTCCTTATTCTCCGTATGAATTATCTTCAGAGGGAGAGATGTAAGTTTGCTACAGTGTACTACAACATTGTTGCAACCTTCAATGTTACTCTTTGTGTTATCTAATGACATATGATTGAAATATGAGAAGGAGTTAGTTAAGGGTGCGGTCAAATAAATAAAAAAAATTAAAATATATAAATAATTTTAATTTTTGCCGACGTTTCGACCCACTTTGCAGGTCGTCTTCAGGGCTACAAAAGATACAAACATGTTGAAAAAATAAAAATAAAATAAAAAATAAATTGACCGCACCCTCAACTAACTCCTTCTCATATCATATAAACGGTCAACCATCTCTACATCATTATGATTGAAATAGTTATTATTGATTGATTTGTACTAGTGAAACTACATGTAATTTAATTCTTTTTGTAAAGAATAAAATCTCGTTAATGATTGATTTGTACTAGTGAAACTACATGTAACTTAATTCTTTTTGTAAAGAATAAAATCTCGTTAAATCAATCTTACAAATATACTGACTGACTATTTATGATTCATATTAACTTTATTTATGTATATTGGAAGTTACAATGAAATTTATCAATCATTTCAAAGAAATCTTTATTTGATAGACTTCACTGATAGGCGCTCGGAGGTAGGTAATCTGTGATATTTATTATTTGTAATAATGCAGTTTCTTAATTGAGCATTAAAATTAACTTTACTTCATTCCAGCACAATATTTTGTGTAGTAAATTGATACTTTTAGATTCTATTGTTAGTCATAAATTGAAAAACAAATACATGGAATAAACCAATGATTATGATATATACAAGTTTCAAGAATGAGAAAAAATAATCCTAAACGTAAACCCTAGAAAAGACTGGATAATTTGTCAACTGAATACGTATGGAGTCGTGAGGTCGGTTGTACCAAAAAAATTCTGGTGCAATGAGAGCATCACAAAATTTTCACTTACCACCCTCTTAGCAGAAATAACTATTTTCAGACAAAGAGCGAAATGAAAGTGAAAATTATAGAACCTATATTTATCTATATTTCGTTGTGGGTATTTTTATTTGTATAAGTACCCCAATATATACAAATTTTAATGTTTATATCACTGTAATCTATACAATTAAATATTAGATGATACCAACAATAGCATTTATGAAAACTACATTTGTATATTTATTTAATATTTTCGGAGTCCGTTTTATATTAATCTTATGATATGTATAGTAGAGTGTTTTAATCTTTCGGGCGAGCTTGGGTATTCCTTTGGTTCCTCTATTACAACTCTTTTCCATGAAGATCTCTTATTTCCCCTTTAATTAATTACCAAATTTTTTTATAGTTTATATTTGACCATTTTTCATAATAGAAATTAATGTCAAATGGTCAATTGTTTCAAAGAAAAAAAATTAAAGGTACTTTAGAGGAAGCTAATATTGAAAATTAGCCATTTAAGCCCTGTTAGAGAACATTAATCAGAATAATAACAACATTCTATTTAAAACTGCTTAATTTTCACTAAAATGATTAATTTAATCAAAATTTTTTAAGATGTTTTCGAGATAATCATAAAAATGTGTTTAGCCCATGTATAAAGCCCATTACTTCCGGTTAGCTGATTTTGACGAAAAAGTTGCTGTAACATCCCTAGCATATAAAAGCCTTAAGTATGCAATTTCACTTCGGTAAGACTTTTCGTTTTTGAGCTAGACTGTTAACACACACAGACCATTTTGTGGAATTTGGTTATTTGGACTCAGGGGACCTCAAAACGTGTATTTCCATTGAAAACTCAAATTCAAAAATTTTCAAGAACCCAATACTTACATATTACATACATAGGTAAGCACGGGGGGAGGGAGGGGCTTTCGTGCTGAAGCCCCTCCCCAAAATAGAAAAATATAACCATGTTTTATGGGAAAAGAAAATTAAAAAATACCTCTTAAAGTATTATTGTTCGTGTAATTACATTTAAAAGTACTTAAGGAATAACGTAAACACCATTTCATATAGGTAGTTAGTTTCTTTCTGTTTTTCCAAAGTAATTATTGTTATTTTTATGAAAAAAAAAAGGTTTCGGGCTGAAGCCCCCTCCAAAATTAAATCCTGGATCCATCCGCTAGTGTAGGTAAGTGAAAGTAAAATTGTATTGATACTTACATTTTGAAGTATTATTATTTTCCTTTTACTTTATTATTATTATTTTATGTAAGCAATAAAGTTTTGGAAAAAATCCCTGACTTCCTGAACCTGAAGAGTTTGATGAAAATCTTTGACTTACCCTGTCTTTTTCTAACATCAGACCAATAGATATTTGGATCAGACCAATTTATTCCAATTGCTGTTTTTATACTTTGTTCTGTTTATGCATTTCATTTGTGCGATATTTCTTCTAAAGTTAAAAATATAATTGGATTTTAGCTTGCCATAGGAGAATAAAGGGTGATAGAATGATTTCCACACATTCAGAAAAATACTTTTTTATAGAAACTTTGAGGATAATTTTTTTTTTAAACAAAAGAAGACATTTTATTGCAGCAATTATACTTCAATTTGAAAGAATATCGTTTTTATATTTTAAAACAAAATTCAAAAATTAACAAGCTCTTAATAATAAATGAAAGTAAATAATGGCCTATAATACATGTTGCTTTTTTTTGTGTTTTTTTGTTGACGGCTTTACCTACTGCTGCTTTTGCAGGGGTAAAGATATTTGTTGAATTTGCAGAGATCTAAGTCGAAAGTAGTTTTATTCTCTTCATGACCTAAAACAAAACATCCTAAATTAATTAAAATGTTCAAGATGTTATATGTAGGTTGTTACAGGGTTAAGTGGCCAAACTGCAAAAATGAACTAAGGATCTCAAAAAAAGAAAAAAAAATCCTCTGAAAGTATATCCGCAAACACTTTGTTTAGAAGATATTCACACCTAAAGATTTTTATTGTTATGAATTATTTATGTTATATGAAATAAATAAAATCTATTTATTTGTTCTAACTACTTTATTAATTAAATGTAAACATTAACATTAATATTAAATATAGTTCAAAATGATTTCCTTAAGCATTAAGACAGATTTGGCATCTTTCTTCAACAGCAGCAGTGGATATGTGTTATTATTTCACAAGATTCAATTATCCTTCTTCGTAAGGAATTAAGGTCATTGACCGGACTTGCTTAGCCTTGTTGTTTAATGTCACCTCAAACAAAAAAATCCATGATTGAGCAAGACCGGTCAATGACCTTAATAAAGTAGTTAGAACAAATAAATAGGTTTTATTTATTTCATTTAACATAAATAATTTATAACAACGAAAATCTTCAGGTGTGAATCTCATAAACAAAGTGTTGACATACCTTCTTCTTGCGGAAATTTTTTTCTTATTTTGAGGTCCTTAGTTCATTTTTGCAGCTTAGCCACTTAACCCTGAAACATCCTGTATAAAAACTATCATATAAAACGTTAATGATACATTCAAGGAAAATATATGTAACAATATTTTTCTATTTTGTAGTGGGAGGAAAGTTTTTAGCGTGAAAGTATATTTGATAAAGTGTGAGTCTAATTTCCCAGTTGCTGCTTACATGGTTCTCTCTTAAGTTGTTTGCCTGTGGGCGGGGTAGCCGAATGGGCTAAAGCGTGTGCACTGCACCGCCGTTGCCTGGCAACCTGACATATGAATTAAAGATATAAAAATAGTCACGAGTTCGCATCCCGGTGCCGAGGGAGTCTTTTAAATCCCCGCCCACACTCCCTGGCCCGGGAAAATCCCGTATAGCCTTAACGGCGAGGAAGGGAAGGACCAAAAAAAAAAAAAAAAAAAAAAAAAAAAAAAGTTGTTTGCCTATATTTGTGCATATATCTATATCAACATAAGTTATGAAGGCGAAATTAATTTAATTACACTAAATCCTTATCAAGTATTTTTTAAAACATTTTATACTTAACCAGTCCTTTTTCCATATCTGCTTCCCATGAAGAAATTGTCCGAGCCTTTTCTTGTCGATTTCATCCCTAATATGTCTGAACCTCTTCGATTGTACCTACTTCCTGTCCAGAATATACCACTTCTTGGATCCCTTCCTAGCAATAAAAAAAAAAGAAAGTTTAAAATACTGAAGAATATATTAACATTTAAAAATAATAATAATATTTGAACAAGTTGATAGTATAATTAGGAAAAGATACATAAAAAATATAGATCCCTTTGCGCCTGCTAACACTGCCATAATTTCTGAATCTAGACCGACTTATAACCTTGAACTAGAGTGATGTGATGAAAACATTCTTGAAGCTTGCCACAAAAGGACCAGCTATGGAGCAATGAGTAGTCTGCCACTGCCATAATGAATACCATGGTTCTTTGGAACATGAGGTTGGGTGACTTCCTTCAAGCAGTATATTTTGTGTGACCAATGCATTTCTGTTAGAAGACGGTTAAAGATTTACTTGATATGTAATGTAAAAAAAACAGTAATTTGAAAACATTCATCATAAATAATTGTGAGTAAATGGTTGATTGTCGTGAATAACAAAGAGAAGAATAGTTGGGGTGATCAGTCAAATAATAAGGCAAAAATAAATGATAATATTTATTTTGACATTTGCCGACGTTTCGACTTGACGTTCAGGCCTTCATCAGGGCTAAGAAAAGAACCAGATAACAAGGTATGAGAAACATGAGAACTAAGAGATAAATAATAATAACCGTTACAAAGTGTGGAATGGTGAAGTAAACATAATCATAAAAGGTGACATAAGTATTAAAATGGGAATCTTAGCATAAAATGTAAAACAGAAAAAAGGAATATGAAGTTCTTTCATTTCTTATATAACTTCATATCAATTTTATTAATTTAATATTTAATTAAAATATATCAATTTTTTTATTATGTTTACTTCACCATTCCACACTTTGTAACGGTTATTATTATTTATCTCTTAGTTCTCATGTTTCTCATACCTTGTTATCTGGTTCTTTTCTTAGCCCTGATGAAGGCCTGAACGTCAGGTCGAAACGTCGGCAAATGTCAAAATAAATAGTGTCATTTATTTTTGCCTTCTTATTTGACTGATCATCCCAACTATTCTTCACTTCATTCATTATAAATGTGTAGGTGAAATCCTTCTTCAGCAAGCAAGTTAACAAGGCAATGTTTTAAGCCCCCTCCTCTATCCCCTTTAAACCTCTGAGCATCCTTTCATCACTGTATAAATATTTGCTATATTTCATTGTTACATACAAAAATGTTTATATTCCTTTACAATTAATTCCTTTACAATTAGTAAGTTACAATTCTCTTGCTGTATGTGCTCCTTGTCCTGATTGGCAAAAGTGTAGAGAATTAATCCAGCAATTGGGGCTTGTGGTCTTTTTTGCCAACTCGTACTAACCTGAGCAGTTCTTCCGGACTACTAGGTCTTCCCTGGTTCCTCACAGGACATAGAGTTTCTGCTAAGCTCCTGAAACATAGCCATGAGATGGATCCCTTATTCCCCAGTTGCAACGTTCCATTACCTGTGCTATCTATGAGATATTAAGAGCCAATCTATTGCAAGAAACAGCTCTATGTTTTAGCTGAAACAAAGTTTCCGTAGCTTGTAACTTGGGATAACTATCTTTTCTGTATGAGTGGAAAAGAGCTGTCGGCCCAGCCCACTTCAATCTGTTGAGAAGAGGATAATTTTCTGGAAGGCTGCCAGAAAATGCAGCCGATGTTGCATATAATCACATCTCTGATTAGAAAAAAAAAACCTGTAGCACTACAATCCATCCTTGGGTTCAGTACTATTTAGGGAAAATACCGTTTTTTAGTCAACGATTGTGCAAGGAGGTGATTTAACTGAGATCATGCTTAACCACCACGTTTTCTCCTTAATTATTTATTTAATTAAGGGGCCACTTTATAGAGGCTGGTTGTCTCCTGAACCCTGGGTCTTTCCATGGCTGAAGAAACTGAGAACTGAAGAATAAATAAGTTTTCTACCATTAGCCGGGATTCGAACCTGGGACTTTGAGCATTGGAAGATCAGTGCCCTACCTCTGAGCTACCCTGCTCCCATTTACAATTAATAAATGATAATTAAGTGAACAATACAAACTTATCAATAATTGAATCACTGATGGCTCAGTGTTTCCATTGATTCCTAAACTCAGTATAAATCCCTGTCCATCGGCATTGGTCAATCGATTGATGAATTTCTTCGATGGAATAAGCGCTAAATTTAGAAACTTACCATACAACAGAACAACTCAATGATCGGTGTATATATGTTAATCTGAAAACAGCTTTTTCCTTCGCAATAAGTACAATCAACTTGCTACGACATTGAATGCTCTCGTACGATTTATACCATCAACATTTTTGAGATGGACACATTTCGACAAGATATGATTTTCCGGAGAGAAAAGTTTCAATCCAGGGAACAAGAGAAAAAAAATGGATAAGAATACCACAACTGTATTTATTGTAATGTATACCTTTATTGAACAATTGAAAGGCAAGCTAATCTAGTTCTACTAGTGCAAGGAAAAGAAAATCCCAAAGAGAAGAGGAACAAAGTTTTTTGTTTTGGCAAGCAGTTGATGTTTGGCTGCAGTGAAAGAGGATAGGAGAAGGGACCTGGCTCCAGTGGATAAAACCCAGAAATAGTACTACCATTTTGGAAGTTGTGTTTGGCAGAACCTTGGAAAGCATTTGAAGACAAATGAATTCAGTGCAACAAAGGAAGAAATAGTATCTATAGAAAAAAGGTTAGCTTACCAATCCATAATTGACTTTATTTTAAAATCAGTGTTCAATTTTAGTGTAAATAATAATAGTTTGCCTGAGTTGATCTGATTGTCAGTAACCCATACCTGAGATAAATAAATATATTAATTATCTTATAATTTTGTTTATTATTTAATAACCTCTTATTTATTTAGGAAGTATCCCAATGGTATAAAGTGGTCTGCCATGAGGTTATATTATTATTATTTTAAAATATAAGAGGGATGTTACATTTTGGATACTATTTCTTCCTTTGTTGCACTGAATTCATTTGCCTTCAAACACTTTCCAAGGTTCTGCCAAACACAACTTCCAAAATGGTAGTACTATTTCTGGGTTTTACCCACTGGAGCCAGGTTCCTTCTCCTATCTTCTTTCACTGCAGCCAAACATCTTGCTTTGGCAAAACAATAAACTTTGTTGCTCTTCTCTTTGGGATTTTCCTTCTTGGGAAACTACAGAGCAGCCATTTTCTTTTCCCTGCACTAGTAGAAGTAGATTAGCTTGCCTTTCAATTGTTCAACATTGATTTATTAAACCCTTTTCACTCACTTCCAATAAAGGTGTACATTACATTATATATGATATACAATTTTTCTAAATCTGCTTTTGGTTGGACTGTTATAAAAAGAGGAAAGCAATAAAATTTCTTGGGAGGGAGGAGGAAGTTCATACTCCATCGATCTTGGGGAGGGGATGGGCACCACTGTTTACCATAGACCTGTTTGTAATAGTTGCTGTCATGACTTCTACTGCCCTGTTACTACTGTCACGAGGACAAAAGATTTTAATATTTTATATTTTAAATAAAAATGAAGCTAATATTGACTCACTGGCTACTGCTGTCCTCTTGCCGTACCTCGAGCTGGCGTAGAAACCCAGCGGCGTCGAGTAGGAGGGGGCAGTCGAGAAGAGGAGGATGCACACGAACAGGTAAGACCACCACATCCTGGAAACAAACAAATATTACTTAAAAAAAAAAAAATTAGGGTGTGTGCGGTCAAACGGGTCAAATGACCCATTTTGAACTTTTCCATTGAAAATGCACGTATAATTTTATTGCATTTGCACATTTGATTTCATGACTTTTTCTAAGTAATTAATGTACAGTTATAAAAATATTTTTGTTTTGTTTTGTTTTGTTTATTCTGAGTAATCCTTGTTGTATACCGATATCTACCACAACAGGTCATTTGACCCGGAGAGAATTTTTTTGTTTTATGAGATTATCTAGTCATATTTGTAGTCAGTAAGTTGCACATTCTTTCAAAGACTGTTGCGCAAAGTAGTTCAACGAAAATAGCTCAGAATAATTTCAAGAAAATATCAAATTTTAGATTGAAAATAGCTTTTTAGTGTGAGAAAAAGTGGCAAAAATTGAAAGTCTTGGTAAGTACCTAGCTTATATTTTATTTTGATAGCTATAGTAATGCAGATCATTTTTTACCCAGAAAAATGTTGAAGCAAACAAGACAGTACAAGTTCTTAGAAGATATAAATAATATTGGCGAAGAGTTTTCAGAAATTAGTGAAGATGAATTTTCTGAAAATGAAGATATATCGGTTGCAAATAAAAATGAGTTTGATTCTACAGATACTGACGATGAAGAGGAAAATATTGTGAATGTATGTAGTGGCCGAAAAAGAATAAGATTACTCACAAGTTTGGAAGAAAGTGAAGTAGAAATAAATGAAGAAAATGTTGCGAATGATGGATCTGTTTGGCAACAAATGCAAGTAGGTGGCACACCTGGAAGAGCACCACTGCGATGAACTATGAATTAAAAGTTTTTATTTTTTGCTTTTGTAATAGAAATGCTCAACATACTATTTTGTTTAATCATAATAAATTTAATTTATATTTTTATTTCCTTCCTAACATCCATATTTCATACATTCAAGCATGAAACATAAAGTCGGGTCATTTGACCCGCTATGGTAGAAATAGGTATATATTAAGTCTTGGTATGATTAGTTCCACAGGATAGAAGTGAATTATGAAGATGGCTAGATTAATAATATGAAATATAAATATTTGTTTTCTTCAGTATTCACAAAGCAAAAACATATACAATTATTTTTTTCTTCTTCATAAGTCCTAATTGAGATACTTTTTATATGAGATATATAAATAATACTTAATAACTTCAGTTATAAGATTTAAATTCAGTATCTGACTAGGCTCTACCTAGAGGAGTTCACAATATAACTAAGGAATGAAACATAAAAATTTTAAAAAAAATTAAAAAATGTGACAAATCTTTAAAAAAATAAGATATTAAGATGAGATACTGTCTGAAGATGGGATAAGAAAGTGGATTCCGAAATGTCATAACAATAAAGAAAAATTGTTGGGAGAGTAAATGCTGTTATTAAATCTTATTTATATACCATGTACAATTATAATTGTGTGTAATTTACTCTAGTAAACTTTGCACTGACTGATCAAAATGTGTCGAAATACTATCGAGTGCAACAGAAAATCGAATAGAAACACTTAATTTCCTAATTTTCGTCTAATTAAAAATATATCTATAGGGTAAATGTAGCAATAGCTGATATGTTTAAGGGAATTTCTTTGAACTTTTACGTGTAAACACTTAAATATCGATGTTATTATATTTTTCATGGATTCAACTTGTAGAATTATTTCTCACCATAGCAAGATATAATTGAAATCCATGAAACATTAATCTAAATTTTAAAAAATTGGAAATTAAGAGAATAGTTTTGTTGTACCAGTAACTGACACTGTTTGATTTGTAATGTACCTAAAAATTTGTATTCTTCATTTTAAGATTAACAAAAATAACCTTTAAATTATTATAAATTGGTTTCACTCTGTTGATTTCAGGAATTCCCTTAGTATCAAAATTCGGCATTCTTCCTCCCTATCTACATTTAAAACACTCCTATTCCAATTCCTGTCCCAAAAACAGTCAGGTATCCTCTAACCTTTTATGATATAATAACATATTATTCATAATCATTTACATAATGATGTATTTACAAATAATTCATCATTTAAATACTCTGACAATTTTTACTATCAGATTCGGCTTTCTGTTTTTATTTTTTCTAAAATTGTATATTTATATTTTATCACTGTACATAGTTTGAAGTGTCTTGGCATAATTTCAATTGTTTTGTAAATAGATTTTTTATTTTATATATATTATGTTTAACTAATGTTTTCTTTATTATTTCTCTTTGTTTTTACTTTCTGTGTTTGTTTTTATTTAGGCCTGATATAATGTTTTAATTTTTTACTTTTTATTTATTCTAAAGGGACTTTGTCCCAGAATAAAATTATTTTCAATTCTTTTTTTTTTATTTTATTTTTTTATTTCTTTATGACATTTACAACTGTATTACATAAATACATCAAGTAAATTTGGACATAATTGATATAATGACATGAATACACTTGCTGAGTAACTACCCAATGGTAGCACTCTAATTTTCAATTCTAAAACTAACTTCTTGCGTTTCCCGACTTAAATTCATCAATAAATGCTGGTCACTGTCAAGAACCTGTTTTTGGCAATAGTAAAATCTATTTTTGCTTCGAATTTAATCCAAATTATTAGCATTTTTTTTTTAATGGGACAATATTGAATAGTCCCATTTTTAAGACCTATTATATTAAATATATCTCTTTGAATTCATGAGAGTAAAGGCCTGTCAACTACTAGCAAAAGTTCCCATCATAAGATTCCAGTAGTTGACACTCATTAAATATATTATTACTTCATTAAGATAAGTTAAAAATAGATAAAACATAATTTAAAAACACTCCAAAAAACAATCAAACTAAAATTTTGGGATGTCAGAGTAGTTATAGAGAAAAAGGCAAACCTAAGGTAAGGTACATCTTACTGAAAGAAGATTGTTCCTGGGACACTAAGTGGACTGTGAGAGACCTTCCTAATTTGCCACTTATTATTTCGGTTGCAATTTCCGGCAAGATTAAAGCAAAGCAGACAAGTATAGAAGGAAAAAATATATGAACTAAAAATAAATAAAATAGAGGTCTAGGAGGTCCTGAAATTTTATTATCTCCATTTTTCGAGGAGGATATCAGGTATTGGTACACTTTCAGCTATTTGTGCTTTTACCATATTGACTTCTTAAAACTCTTATTTAAATTCTGAGATATTTTGGTTAAAAACATTCGTTATCATTTGGTTTTCGACATTATCTTTTTTCTCTTTTGTCTCTCTAACTGGCTGGCACACAGTGGAACGAGTAAGGAAGTGAAAGTAAAAATTATTGACGCTATATTACAATTAAATATTAAATAATACCAATGATAGCATTTATGAAAACCGGATATGTATATGAACATAATATTGTCGGTTTCCTTATTATATGAAGCTCATGTTATAATCTTTCAGGTATGGGAGCCTGTTGTAATCTTTTAGACAAGCTCGTATTCCTTTGATTCCTCTATTACAACTATTATCTGTTACAATCTCTTATTTCTCCTTTAGTTAATTATCAAATTATTTCATATTTTATATATAACTATTATTTATATCAAAGATTAATGTGAAATGGATAATTATTTCAAATAAAAAAAAAAATTAAAGTACTTTAGAGGAAGCCAATATAGAAAATAAGCTATTTAAGCGCTGATAGAGAACATCAATGAGAATAAAATCTACATTATGTTAAAAATTGTTTAATAATACACTGATATACTGAGTTTAATCAAAATCGTTAGAGCAGTTTTTGAGAAAATCGTAAAAATGTGTTGAATCGATTATATAAAGTACCATTTCCGGTTTGTCGATTTTAAATAAATTGTTGCTGTAACATCGAAAGCTTATATATATATATATATATATATATGCAATTTCACTTTCATGCGACTTTTCGTTTTTGAGCTGGACTGATAACATACTTATACACTCACACAGACCATTTTTGGAGACTTGGTTATTTGGATTCAGGAGACCTCAAAACATGTATTTTCATTGAAAACTCAGACTCGAAAATTTTCACGATCGCAATACTTATCCTTACTATATATTGCATATATAATAGTTAAGTGAAAGTAATACTATATATTGCAGATATATAGGTAAGTAAAAATAATAATGTGTCTACTTTACGAGTGTATACGTATAATTTAAGTATTTTAAACAGTTTTTGAGCAATTCCTACTTATTTAATAAAAATTGTGATTACCTTAAGACACAGGCGGATTTACGGGGGGAGGGGACTTTTCGGGCTGAAGCCCCCCCAAAATGGTAAAATGCAACCATATTTTATAGGAAAAAATATTAAAAATTATCTCTTAAATTATTATTGTTGGTGTGATTACATGTAATAGGACTTCAAGAATAACTAAGACACTATGTCATGTGTGTAGTTAGTTTCTTTCTTTTTCTTTTTCAAATTAATTATCGTTAGATATATGAAAAAGAAATCCTTCGGGCTGAAGCCTTCCCCCCAAAAATCCTAAATCCTGGATTCGCTAGTGCCTTAAGAAAAATACAAAAATTCACGACATCGGCTAAATCTAATGACCCAGCAATTGCATCCCAAATGCTTCAATCACACATCATAAATCTAGAAGAATGGTGTCAAAACTGGAGAATTAAAATAAACTCCAATAATTCCCACCAAATTACCTTTACCCTTCGTCGTAAACCAACAACTTCCTGTCCTACAGTTTCCTTTAACAATACTCCACTCTCTAATACTAGTGATGCGGCTGGAAAAGTGGCACTGGAATCTCCTGGAGTCTTGCTTTGCCTTCCACATGTGGGGGAAAAAGCCTGGCTCGGAGATTCTTGGGCGAATGTATATATTGTATATAGGTATGATTGTGTTTATAAGTTTCTTTTTATGTTATTGTTTATTTTTTTTTCTTTTATTTTCTTTCTTCATCAGTATTATTTATTTACTTTTTATATTTATATTTATTTCTCTATTATTTGT